CAAAGCTCTGGGGAAACCTGAAATCTTCGTTTCTCTGAACTCTTGGTCATTGTCTGCTGTCCAACACCCACCCTCCTCTTCCTGCACATGGTTCTTTCCGTCCAGTGAGGTTGTAAAGCAACAGAACTTTTTAAATATGTGCAACACAGTGATAAAGGCTGATACTGTATCTTGTGATAAGGAAGCTAGTTGATAGCTTCCATAGAAATAAAAATAAGTTATTTTATAGGGCAGCAAACTTAAGAAAAGCATTTTAATGTTATTTATTCAGGTATAAATTATTAATCACTTTAATTAAATATGGAAATCGTTTTGTGCAGGAATTGGTTTTCAGGAAAATTCTTCCATAAAGTGTACTGTTTTCAGAAATTCATTGAACCCTTAAATTTAGCTTTTTGGCTGACTATTTTTCTTTCAAATTTTAACTCTGTGTCTGTGTTGTTTTAAAGTCTTTTCTTTGAATATTTTTTCTTCCCTTTCCCCTTTAACTTTCATCATTTACATAATTTCTGGCTGTCCAGCATTTAGAGTACTTTCATCTAGCTGCAGTTTTGGTGACTTTACTTCAGCTTTTCCTCTCCAGGCTGCCCACAGTAAGTTCTGTTGTCCAGTAGGCATCTTATTAATTTATATCCTTTTTGTGTTGTTTCATGTTTTTTTAGTTATGAAATTATTATCATTTTTAATGATAAGCCTTCATAAATTTGTTTTACCCTCTCTTTTATTAAACTCAGAGTTAAAGGCACAGTTTTTTTATGAAAGTTGATCTAATAATTTGAAATAAAAATTTTCATAAAAATTAAAAATTTAATATTTTGTTTGCTAGCTACTCATAATAGATCATTGTCTTGTAACATATCTATGCTAGTTTTAGCTGATTTTTCTTTAAAACTTAATTTTAAAATGGAGACTTGCTGTGCTGACCAGGTTGACGTTGAACTGGCAATCCTCCTGCCTCAGACTCCTGAGTAAGTCAGATTATAGGCATATGTCATGCCCAGTTTTCTTTGAAACAGCCAGAGTCTAATTCTTGAAGATCAGTTTGTTTGTTTTAGAATGTGAAAGAACTCACCATGGTAGGTCTTTCGCATTTGGGTAACGACCTGTTGTGTTTAAAAGAATATCTGAATTGTGCCTTCCCTTAGTATGTCTGATGCTATTTTGACAGTTTAGGAAAAAAGAACTAATATCTCTGTAGTATTCAAAGCAAAGAATGAAAGGCACTACTGTAGTCTTTGATGAGTGCTTAGAAAAGTCTCTAGGACTGAGAACATACTTTAAGATTTAGCAGGCATTTTGCTATTGACTGATAGGTGAATTGTGCTTTATGATGCAAAAAATTACTGTCATAAACTTTAATTTTTATACTTTGAACTGCATAGTAGGACTTAGTTTTACTCTTAACATTAGGCTGCTGAATACACATTGGTTGTTATGTAGAGTTATGTAATGGCTCTTCACGTTGTTTGTAAACATCACTCGGAGTCTGTTGAAGACCTTTCACGTAATGCTGCTGTCACTCCATGCCACCGCTCCACCTCCATAGATAGATTCTGGTGTGGATTCCAGGGTAGACACTGTCAGGGCCTTATAAAATCAAGTTTCATAATTTGTAAAAGTCACATGATTATCAGTGTTTTTTTATAGGACACCTACCTTAAGCAGAAATGATCACAAGTAATCTACCAGTGAGATTGAGAGAAGCCTAGAAATTTCATGTTTTGTTTATTCTGTTACAGGTGGAAGTGCTGGATCAGTAAATGCTAATTTTGCTCATTTTGATAACTTCCCCAAATCCTCCAGTGCTGATTTTGGAACCTTCAGTACATCCCAGAGTCATCAGACAGCATCAACTGTTAGTAAAGTTTCAACAAACAAAGCTGGTTTACAGACAGCAGACAAATATGCGGCACTTGCTAATTTAGACAATATCTTCAGTGCTGGGCAAGGTATCCATGTGTAAACAAAGCAGATGCTAATTTGTCTAAATTACTTATGTTAAAACCTGAGGAGACAATGCTTTTCTCACTTGTATAGAAGTTATGTGCACAGTGAATGTTTTGAGTAGGGTTGTTGGCACTTTTGCATGTAAAATACCAGAAGACTGAAGATGTAGAAGTTAACTTAAACAATTATTTTCAAAAGAATAATTGAAAATAATGTATTTTTATTTTCAAAAACACGCTTTACTATTCTATGACTATAGTGCTATTTTATAATTTCAATCATATGTGCATTTTGAACTATATTTATTAATAACATTTTGGCATTTTGATGTTCCAACTCATTTTTTTCCTTTGAAACAGGGTTTCTCTGTATAGCCCTGGCTGTCCTGGAACTCACTCTGTAGACCAGCCTGGCCTTGAACTTACAGAAACCTCCCCATTTTTTAAATATATTTTTGTAGTTAGTTTTGGCCTTTAGGCCACTATTTCCCATGTAAAAATGGAAAGCTCAGTGAGAACAGTGGGGATGTGGCCTACACTGGATTCTGCATCTTGTTTTTCTCATCTCTAAACTGAGAGAGATCATACACTTGAATTCTGGGACTTAGATTTTGTGAATTATTGTACACAAAGCATTTAGAGTACTGCCTAGCACAGGAAGCACTTAGTAAATATCTATTTTTTTCATGGAAAATCCTGGAAGAATGGTACTATTAATAGATTATATACATTAGGTCCATCATATAAATTTATGTGTTAATTTGAATGAAACCATCTGTCTCAGAGTTCTTTAAATCCTGTTTAATGTTTAGATCACATCCATGTTGGGGTTACCTGTGTTTCATGGCAAATACGGTTGATGAACTGACAATATAATATTAAAGTTTTGGTGTAACTTTTTTGTTTGTTTGCCTCCAGGAGGTGATCAAGGGAGTGGTTTTGGGACCACGGGTAAAGCTCCTGTTGGTTCTGTGGTTTCAGTTCCCAGTCACTCAAGTGCATCTTCAGACAAGTACGCAGCGCTGGCAGAGTTAGACAGCGTGTTCAGTTCTGCAGCCACCTCCAGTAACGCTTACCCGTCCACGAGTAATGCTAGCAGGTACAGCTTGTCTTAGTCAGCACCCCTGGCTTTGACCTTGGTCTCCATGTCTGAATAACATAGTTAAAAGTGATCTTTGTAGGGTTGTAACTTAAAAATAATTGAGTGGTTTTTAATTGAGTAGTTTTTAGACTTAAATAGTTTTTAAGTTGAAATTGAATGTAACTTGCTGTTTAAAATGTAATTCTTGAGCTTTTGCCATATACTTTTATCAAGTCTTAGAAAATTTTAAATTCTTTTCACTCCTGGATGCTAAATGTACTTGAAAGAACACAAATTTCTAAGTGGACGATTACATATGGTTGTACTCAGCAGTCAAGTTGCGTATGTCAGGGCATGATCTTTAGTCATAAAGACTAAGCAGGAAAATGATCGAGTTTGCAGTTTTAGTTTTTAGTCTGTTTGCACTAAACCCCACTGCTACTGTCAGTTCTCCAGCTCGTTATTGTCATTTAGTATTATAGACTGCACACGCACTGCTTTGCTCACACAGACTTTGTGGAAAGGAGATCCAAAGAGCAGGAAGACTACATGTTTAAAATATCTCCCTTGTGTTAAGTAAGGTCTTGTGAAGTCCAGGTTGGTTATGAGTTCATGGTCCTTTGTCTCCAGAGTGCTTACAGGCATGTGCTTCCAAACCTGGAAGAGCGTTAGATTTTTAACAACTGTTAAAATTTATTGAGAGTGTACAACATTCTAGTTATTTTTTTGTTCCATATCTGTAGATATATCTGCTTTATTGCTATTACTATTTAGTTTATTTCCCTTTGACATCTTTCCTAGAGGGAAATTCTATTTGAGATGAGACAAATTGAATCCAAATAATAAAATTTGTCATTATTTTAGTTTGTTTCACTAGTATTGTCTGTTTTATCTTTAATAATAGTAATAAGGTAGCCATAAGGCTTGGAAACATAGATAAAATCCATGTGATAAATGGATGTTGACATTGTATTGTGATTTATTAGTGGTTTACAAATGTGATCTGTTGTGTTTGAGTTATGTAAGACTCTTTACGGTATCTCTGAGTTCAGACCTCTTTTTTCATAATTCTGAGATGCCAAGTTGATTTGTCAGTGATTTACATTTATATTGATAGTACACAAAATACAAGCAGGCCGGAAAGCCTTGCTGCAGAAATTCTAAGTTAGTATCAAAAGATCACACCAGAGTAGACATTGTGTTTCTACACATAGCACTATTTTATTTCTCATTTTTAAAAAAATGTGTTTCTTTCTGTTGCCTGGGCTAGTGTTGTACTCATGATTCTTCCTCATCCTCTCAACTAACATGTGACACCATTTCTCTTTGCCTTATGAACAGTGTTCATTAGTTTTTCTAACTACTATACTTGATAAAATTGTAGCATTTTCAGCTTACTAGTTTTCTATTAAATGCATTTTCTGTATGTTATCAAGTAGTTTGGATACATAGTAAAACATATGGTCGTCTTGAAAGAAATTTGCTATTTTTAAGTTTTTGGATAAACCAGCTACTCAGTTTATGGTGGCTTGGATTTGAATATTTGTCAGATATTTTTATACAGTGTGATCACTGTAAAGACTGCCCCTTTTGCTGGGGTTAGTGCTCAAGGATAGTACTTGCCCAGCATGCAGATTGCTCTGGATTTGATTCCTGGCACCATGAATGGGCACAAAGGTGCATACCTTTATTGCCAGTACCTGTACGTAGAGGCAGAAAGATCAGAAGTTCAAGGTCATCCTGCATAACAGATTCCTGGCTGGCCTGCGTTATATAAAACCGTATCTCATAAAGGAAACAAAATTTGTTGAAATTAAATGTTAGAATTTTGGGGAATTTGTGCATTCTACCATAAACTTAAAAGTGAAGATGCAGTGAACTTTGACTTTGTGGGGTGGAAAAAGTCCATTGATGGGTTTCAAGTTCCCCATTTCAGGCTAGCCTTTAGGAAACTGCCAGTTTTGGTGTCATAGCAAAGAAAATTAAATGCTATTACTTGTTGTTAAGTATGTGTATAAAATACATGTTCATTCTATACTTCAAACAGATGGTAATATATGCTTGGATTAGTAGACGTATACAAAAACCATTCTTTTTGCTTTAAAATTTCAGTCTTAGATGCATATTTTTTTAAATTATCCCTTTCTATATACTACTGATTGACAGAGACGGCATATGTAAACATTTTTGTTACTGGAATTTCAGTAGTTTTCATAATGTAAACTCATCTTGAGTTACAAATGAAAACGACAGTGATGTTTAGAACAGTTAATTTTGTGTTTCCACATCTTGTGTCCACCTTGTAGGTAGATGACCTTACGTCCTTATTGAATGCTGACTCTTGATCTTCTTTTCAGCAGTGTTTTTGGAACCGTGCCTGTGGGTGCTTCTGCTCAGACACAACCTGCTTCAAGTGGGCCTGCTCCATTTGGGGGTATGTGCTTTTCATAGAGAATGTTTTTAGGGGTGCTGGGAATATAGTAAGAGAGCAGCATTTTATTATCAAAATGTTCACATTTCTGTTTTGAAAAATATAGTGAAGAAAGTTTTAAAATCTTGAGTATGAAGTATTAGGATTTTATAGCATATTTTATACTTTTTTAAAAGCTACGCCTTCTACGAATCCATTTGTTGCTGCTACTGGTCCTTCTGCGGCATCGTCTACAAACCCATTTCAGACCAATGCCAGAGGAGCAACAGGTAAGAAAAAGACAGATCAAGGAACCATAACCATGGGGGAAAGAGTTTATTATTTATTTGTTTATTATAAAGCATACCTAAACAAAAGGCCTTTTTCTACTGAAGCACAGTGCAAGAAAGGGTAGGTGCGTGTGTTCAGAAACACAAGATGGCAGGCAGCTGGGTGTGGTGGCATGTATCTTTCATCCCAGTACTTAGAGGGCTGAGGCAGGAGAATAGTGAGTGTGAGGCCAGCCTGAGCCACATGCAGAGACATTGTTTAATGGGTGATCGAGGCATACACCTTTAATCCCAGCACTCGGGAGTCCAAGGCCAGCATAGTCTACAGAGCTAGTTCCAGATTAGCCAGAGTTATAGAGAAACCCTGTCTGAAAAAAATGAAAGGTGAAAGAAAGAAAGAAAGAAAGAAAGACCTGGTCTAAAAAAAAGACAAATGCTACTGAAAATTTATAAAATTTAGGAATTTAACAGACTTAGGGAGCCTGAGAAGTTATGTTTCAACCCTTCTGCTCCAAATTTTGGTTTTTCAGATAAGGAAGGTCAAATGGGGGCAGAAGAACTTGATTGATAATAGTAGTCCAGCTTGTATGGTGCCAGAATGGCTATCAGTCATTCAGTATTAATAAAACATTTTATAAAAACACTAGGAGATTATATCAGATGAGTAAATTTTGTTATATTAACTCTAATATCTCTTGCCTCTTTTCAGGGTTCCTATTTTATGTTTCTTTGCTTTTTGTGTTTTATAAGATCACGCTATCATCCTCCTGCATCCTAGGTGTGCACTCTTCATTTTAGAGTTCAGTACTTTGTTTATCCTCTCACCGTTTTTTTTTCTACACTTGTTTCACGCCCAAGCCAGTCACATCATTCTTGCATTTCTTCCAGTGTTGTCTTGCTGCCATGGCCTGACAAGGCACACCAGTAGGTGTAATGGTGTGACTAGCTGTCATTTACTCTATCCAGAGCTTTGTTTCTATGTGTTTCAGAGCAAGATTGGAACCACAGCTTTAACACCAATTAATTACAGCAAATGTTGATTTGAAGTTTTAAGAGTATATCATTATAACTTATCTAATCGTTAAGAATAAATAATTATGATAAATATCTTTATTGTTCTCAAGACTAAGAATTATCAAAGTTGAACTAGCATTTTGGTATTTGTCTGTAGCCCAGCAGTGAGGGGCAGAGGAAGATCAGAAGTTAGAGGCCAGTCTGGACCACCACAGGGAGAATCTATCTACAAAGAAGCAAAAATTAGAAATTTTGATACCAGAAATTTTCTTTTACACAAACTCCTTAGTCATAATTTAAGTACTTGGATTTATTTTTTTTTTTTTTTTTGGTTTTTCGAGACAGGGTTTCTCTGTGGTTTTGGAGCCTGTCCTGGAACTATCTCTTGTAGACCAGGCTGGTCTCGAACTCACAGAGATCCGCCTGCCTCTGCCTCTGCCTCCCAAGTGCTGGGATTAAAGGCATGCGCCACCACCGCCCGGCTAAGTACTTGGAATTTTTATCAGATAATTTTTTTAAAAAATGGCTTTTTCAGGGGCTGGTGCAGTGGCCTGATGTGTAAAGGTATCTCTCCATAATCCCTCATGGCCTGGAGCTCACATGGTGGAAGGAGAACCAACTGTCCTAATGTGTGCTGTGTTAAAGTTGCCACAATACATTGTGTAGCTTATAAAGATGCCAAAGAGGAGTCACCGATTGCATCTTGTGTGAGAGTGTACTAACATAGCTCCAGTTAAATGCTGTGCTTAGCATTGCAGTGTGAGCAGTGCTTCCTGGACAGCTAGGGTGTTTGAAGACAGATGCTGTAAATCATCGTGTGTATGTGTGTGTGTGTGCTGTGTGTACTTCAGAGTTAGGGGAACCTCCTACTGCCTTTGAATATGAAATCATTTTAAACGGTAAGATTATATATAAAATCTACAAGGAATATAAGCAATATTTATTTAATTTTGAAGTTTATCAGAAAGAAAATACTATATCTACAAATTTTTATTTCAGACTAATTTTCGGTTTTTTTTTTGTTTTGTTGCCTTTTTTTTTTTTTTTTAAAGAAGGTTTTACTGTGGATCCCTGATTATCCTAGAACTTGGTTTGTAGATCAGACTGGCCTTGAACTCAAAGAACTTTGCCTGCCTTTGCCTTCTGAATTCTGGATTAAAGGCATGTACTACCATTTCTGGCTATTTCAAAGTAATGTTTACATTCTGAGGTGTTTGGAATATATCACATGGCCTGTCCTCCTTCGGACATTATCAGTTGAGTAATCTGCAGTGCTCTGGAGCTACACTGGCCTTAGGAATTCCCAGGCTTTGCATCACTTGGACTCCTCGAGGACTCTTTCTTTCCTCTCAACTGTGTTAACCCTGTGAAGTCCTCTTCTGAGATAGCTCTGGAAGAACAGTGGGTGACAGTTCTGTGCTCTTGAAGATTAAGTACCAACCTCCACTGCCAACTCTGTTTCAGACCAAAGTATGGTGGTGGTTAATACTGGTTAACTGTCACCTTTGACTGAGAAGTTTTAAGATAGTTTTTTAGAGAGAAATTGGAGTAGAGGTGGGGGTGGGGCACTGTGACTGTCCTATAGCATTTGTCTGGAGGTCAGAAAACAGCTTTGGGGATCAGTTCTGTCATTGTGGGGCTTAGGGATTAAACTCAGGCTTGAGGCTTATGCAGTGAACACTTTTATCTGCTGAACCATATTGCTGGTCTTGAGAAGTTTTAAAAACAGTATTCAGTGGGAAAGAGTTCTTTGCCTTAGTAATAAGTGCATAGGAGAATTGCGGAGAAAGCAGAGTTTAGCAAGCATTACTGAGGCAAGACTAGTTGATTTCTGAGAGCTAAATGCGTTGTCCAAACTTTTTATCACAGAACGCTTTTCTTTTCAGCCTTTTTTTGACTTTAAAGATGTGTGTGTGTGTGAGCGCGCGCGCACACACGTGTGTACACATGTGTACATGCATCCATACTCACACGGGTATGTTCAAAAAGTGAGAGAAAACACTGGAAGAATGCCATCTATGTCCTTAGACAGAGTCTCCCAATGGCCTGGAGTTCACCGATTAGGCTAACTCTCTAACCTACAAGCCATAGGGATTCTTGTGTTTCTGCTTTCTTGGTCTGGGATTATCGGCCTGTAATATCTGATAATATCCACATGGATTTTATCATGGAATCTGGGATTGAATTTGGGACTTCATGCTTGTAGGAGCTTTACCAGTTTGTTGTACCATACCTGTAGCCCCCATAATAACATCTGTTTAAATTGGCAAGAAAATTTTTTTCTTGCTTTCCATGTATTAATTCACTGCTGTGCTTACTCTGATAGCAGCCTTGTGAAGCACATGGGTCCCCTTTGCAGACGAGTATGCCAATGTTTATATTAGTTCAGACATAGTAGGGGAAGAAAGTGGCAGAACCAGAACTCAAGAGTTGTTCTCTTCTGTCACCCTGTGACAGATTTCGGTATTCTAAAAAGTGTTCCAGTCTAGAATACGTAGAAATATATTTTAGAAATAACCCTAATCCACACTATTAAACAATGCCAGAACAGAGCTTTAGAATTGAGTAAACTGAGTCTCTCTTGTGTTACTTACACGTGTACATGTAGTTCTGCCCTCCTGTATACCAGGTGAGTTGTACACAGCATGCGTTTCACCAATCAGTCAATCATGATGCTTATTTAAGTAGACCAAAGGTGCTAGACTCACTTTCTCATTTTGTATGTTTAATGATTTTTCTCCTCATAATTCATAACTCATTTAAGTTATTTTTAGGTAGTTCTAGATAATATCTTGATTTTTAAAGAAAACATTCTTGCCGGGCGGTGGTGGTGCACGCCTTTAATCCCAGCACTCTGGAGGCAGAGGCAGGCGGATCTCTCTGAGTTTGAGGCCAGCCTGGTCTACAAGAGCTAGTTCCAGGACAGGAACCAAAAGCTACAGAGAAACCCTGTCTCGAAAATCAAAAAAAAAAAAAAAAAAAAAAAAAAGGAAACATTTTTGTGTTATTTTGTCCAAGACTTGGATTTTCAGTTGGTCAAGAAAAGGTTTTCGGATGTGTCTCATGATGCTGTGTGGGTATGTGTGTGTGTGTGTTGAAATAAGGTTTCATGTAGCCTAGGCTAGCCCTGAACTTACTTTGTAGCTGAGGCTGTCGTTTGAACTACTCATTTTCCTGCTTCCACCTCTAAACTGTTGTCAGGATTTCAAATGTATGCCCTCATGCCTGGCTCTCACTGTGCCATTTTTAAGGTTATAGTTATATCTTCACATGATAAAACAGAGCTAAAATTACTTTTGTTTTGAGACAGTCTTACTGTGCAGGCCTGGTAGGTCTGGAATTCATTATATAGGATAAGACTGGCCTCAAATTCAAAGATCATTCCCCTTCCCCATGCTGGAATTAAAAGTATAGACTGATGTACTCAGCTGTGAAGGATTATTTTTAAAAATATATTTCATCAGTTTTTCTTCACTTGGTATTTATTGTTCTAAACTGTTAAAAACGACATATTAAAATTTTATGAATATAATTGAATGAGAGGTCTCTTTTTGTGGGTGAGTTTCTGTTGTATATTCCTGTGACACCCAGTGGGCAACACTGTGTTCTAACTCTAGAGCTCTTTAATGAAACCAGTTAACTTTTACTTTAACAGTAACTGTACATAACTTAATTGACCTTGGTCTCTTTATGGCTTCCCATAAGGCCTTTCTGGAGCAATGCATTCTCAAGTGTTCCCTCACGCTCATTTTGGTAGGTGGCCACAACTAGATTTCTGTGGCAATTTGTCTAGCTGCTTGTGGAAGCTTCTGCTAGTGTTTTGGATCCTTGCATGTGAAATTAAGTTATTTCCATGTTTTAATATGGAGTGGGCATGGATGTGTGGCATCAAGGTCATGTTGTATTAAAAGTAACATGAAAATCCTATGTAATGATTTATATTTTAATACTGAAAAGCATTATTGCTTACCTCCATGGTCACACTAGAATGTTAATAGCTATTTTGATTATTTTAATTACGTTTAAATTCTTAGTACTTTAAGTGATACCTTTTGATGTACCAAATCATTTTCCTGCTTTCTCTCCTGGAGTTGGTTTTGCCTAACTGTCCAAGCTTTGCTTTGAGTGCTTTCAGCAGTGACTTGTCAGTTGCTTCAGTGCATCTGTCTGCAGTGAAACCTCTTGTCTCCCCCGCAGTGTGCTTAGGCTTTCTTCCGTTCACTTGCTTCCCAGTAGCCTGTTCTTCTCTCTTTCTTTTCTTTTCCTCCCTCGCTGCCAAGTAGTAAAGAAATTAAAAAGAAAAGAAACTGTCTATAGTCTAATTAGGTTCATTGAGCAAATTCACATTGTCAAACATTAGGATTGCTGTAACAGACTTTTCAGTGTGTTTGGTTTTTTGGTAAGAACATCTTGTGGAGTGTTTTTAGTATTCAATTTCTTCAACTTGAATCAGTCACCTTTGAAATCAGGAAATTCAATAAATTAATAGGCTTTTACAGTATTTCATTGTATCCTTAAGCAGTAGTGTACAGTTAAAGCACGTTGCTGTCACGTATTTCACTAAGTCCCTCCCTGTAACGAGCATGTCATCGGCTCATGGGAAGATGCTATTTTACGTATTTCCTGCCAGTTACTCACATAGTGTCCTGCTGTTGCACATCTTTAAAGTGAGAGTTTGTTCATAAATATCCTTGCTTATGTAAATAGGGCATGATGTAGGCATGCCACATAAACATTGGTGATTTCCACTTGGATTCCAGCTCATGCTCTACACACCAGCACAGCAAGCCAAGGAAGAGCTAGTAACGTGGACATGGGACCATGTGCCTGATAGTCTTCCGTCTCTTCTAAAAATGCCCTTTGCACTTCTTTTCCAATCTTCATACATTTACACCAACTTCTGCAGCTGAGTAATCCCAGATATCCTCCAATCACTTCCAGAGTTTGAAATGGGAATGTAGAAGTATATGTTTATATGTATGTGTATGTATACATATGTAAGACTGTATATAGGCACACATATAATTAATAGGAACTTACTATAATAACATTAATGTTTTAAATAGAATTCCGTTTTTTGTCTTTGGCTGTAGTTATAAAAACCAGTTTTGAACGCCCTGCCTTTTACCGTAGTTGTCCTATAAATTGTCTATTTTTAATGAACTCTTTTGAAGAGGTCTTAAATTTCTTTTCTTCAGAATCATGAACCCTTAGTAATTAAAGTTTGGTTGTTTTTTTAAATTAGACATAGGAGAACAGCCTCAAATCCAGGATGTATAATCCTATACACATCACAGTATGACTGTCTTCTGAAGGCAGGCTATTGTTTGGCTTTAGGTAATTGCTTAGGGAAGTTTTTTTTGGGGGGGGGGTGGATTTGAAATGATAGCGTTTGTACTTTCTTCCTAGTCACTGCATTTTCAGAACAGAAATTCTTAGGTTATGTTACAGTTGCAGTAGACAGTGTTATTCTATACTTACTGTGTCAGGATTTGGGGCTTTCAGATGCCCTCAATATGTGTCTTAGTGTTTTCAAGGTAAGTGTTGAGTGTTCCACGCTGTTAACTGCTGTGTGTGTCTCTGACCTGTTCTTTTTTTCTTTTGCCAGCGGCTACCTTTGGCACCGCATCCATGAGTATGCCAGCAGGATTTGGCACTCCTGCCCAGTACAGTCTCCCCACCAGCTTTAGTGGCAGTTTCCAGCAGCCCGCCTTCCCAACCCAAGCAGCTTTCCCTCAGCAGCCAGCTTTCTCTCAACAGCCCAATGGTAAGCTTGAACGTTTGGCTGTCTGTCTACAGGATGTAGACAGTGCTCTTTACATAGTGTGATGTTAAGTGCTTGAGACTATCTTACGATTGCCATAGTCTTATGCACTGAGTGTTAGCTACAGAAGAGAGCCTTTCGGAGTTCAGGCCATACGTGTGAAGGTTTTATTGTGGTTTTGTAAATTTCCTTGACCGTATGTTAGGAAACATCAGTGACTGTAAAGCTCTTCTCGGAATCACCTGTGTCTTTGTCTTATAAGTCCATCTTGTGTTCTCATGTATTTCTTGATTGAAATGGAGATTATATTTTTGTGAAGAATGGTTGTTGCTGTGCCTTTTTGGTATAGGTGTATGCTATAGATGAACACTTTTTTTTTCTTTTTTTGGTTTTTCGAGACAGGGTTTCTCTGTGGCTTTGGAGCCTGTCCTGGAACTAGCTCTGTAGACCAAGCTGGTCTCGAACTCACAGAGATCTGCCTGTCTCTGCCTCCCGAGTGCTGGGATTAAAGGCGTGCGCCAAGTAGGTGACAGTGGTGCCCTTTTTATAACAGGCTAGGAGATTACTCAGCCTTTCTTCTTACCTAGTTTCTTACTTGCTGAAGTTTGAAATCCGTACATTTCAAGAATGTCCTTGGATCTCAGACATTATATAGTAGTTAGGAAATACATAGCATAGAATAGTCATAAATGATAACTTGTTTCTATTGACTTGTGCACATGACCCTCTCATAGTCACACACTCATCAGTCAGCCAGCTCCTTTGAAGGTCAGTGACCTACTGTGGGCTGAGTTAGATTGTTTTCAGAGCTCTGAGGCTCTTGATACACGCCATAGAATGCTTGTCTTCGGTGTCCAAAAGACAGGCGACCTAAGTTTGCATTTCAGTTTGTCATCTGGGAAGAATTTATATAAAACTAGGACTGTCTTGGTGGCAGTGTAGCTTGTAACTGATGAGTTTTGTGTTTTGTGTTTTTTTTGTTTGTTTTTTAAATAAGGTGCAGGTTTTGCAACATTTGGACAGACAAAACCTGTGGTAACCCCTTTTGGTCAAGTTGCAGCTGCTGGAGTGTCTAGTAATCCTTTTATGGTGAGTGAATTTCAGCTTTAAAACACCTTAAAAATAAGTTATATTTTATTTTTAAACTAGAGAAAACAGAACGTGACTATTCCTGCATACAACTTAGTGCTCTGTTAATATGGTGTTCTAGACTATGTATGGCCCTTGGAATGTCTGTAAGAAGTTATGGACAGCAGATGAGCTGTTTTATAATGTGAAATGCATGCACTCTAGTCAGAATTACACTCGGAGAATCCATTGGATTTAAGGGAAAGCATCTTAAGAACAAGATGTTTTTTAGATTTGAACTGAGAAGTACTCCTGTTAGGCGCCAGGTCCCTTTTAGGCACTGTTGAAGCTCTGCATATGTGACGTGAGCCCACGTGAAAGGACGGGGATCTGGAACAAGTGATAGGTGATTTTATACTTTGTTGGCTGCAGCAGTGATGAATAAGTGATGTCAATTAAAAATTCTTAATAAAAATTTGAATGAATTTATAAATTTAAGTACAATTTAATGCTTTCATCTTCTACAAACATCATTTCTGTTTATTTTGTCCGTGTGTTTTTTCCAATAGACTGGTGCACCAACAGGACAGTTTCCAACAGGAAGCTCATCAACCAATCCTTTCTTATAGCCTTATATAGACACTGTACTGGAACGAACTTTTATGTGATCATATTACATCTCTCCGCCTCTTGCCCTGTTGTCTTGTTTCACTGATCTTAGCTTTAAACACGAGAGAAGTCTTTGAAAAGCCTGCATTGTGTATTAAACACCAGGTAATACGTGCAAAACAGAGGGCTCAGCAACAACTTTTCACTTGTGAATTGGCAGGAAAAGGTAGCGGCATCATGTATGTTAAAATTTGGCTAATATTAAGTTATTGCAGATCCCACATTCATTATGCTGCAGTACTGTACATACTTTTCTTAGAAATTAGCTATTTGTGCATATCAGTATTTGTAACTTTAACACATTGTTATGTGAGAAATGTTACTGAGGAAATAGATCAGCCACTTTTAAGGTGCTGTCATATATCTTGGAATGAATGACTAAAATCATTTGAAGCATCGCTTCTGAAAAGTTCAAAGTCAAAATTGGAAGGTTTTATTCATTCTTGAATTTTTCCTTCTGAAGAGCTCTTCTATTTATACACGGCTAAATTCTTTAAAGATGTGGAGGACACCTGTCTGCAGAATAAAGCTGATCATGTTTTGCTACAGTTTGCAGGTGAACAAAATAAATATTAGAAAATATGCTATTGTTTTTGTGTTTTTGCTGCAATGCCTTTACCAAAGTGGCCTTAAATAATGAGTGGAGAGTTGAGAACATCTTGAATTCTTAAAGACTTCTAGTGACTAACTTTTTTTAAAAGGCCATTTAGAAAATTTATTGAAACTACTAGGACTGCTATATTCAGGACTGCAACAGTAGAAAAGCATTTAAATGTAGCTTGTCAGATTCACCATGCTACTTCTGATTTCTCTGCAACTTCTTAATTTTGTGAAATTTGTAAATATGGAGAATTTGCATGTATGTGTATTTACAAATATTTTTTAAAGATCTTGAATTCTCAGACTGCAAAAGGCCTATTTTAACTATTTTTTTTTCTGTTCTCCATTTTAATTGTTGTTGAATGTATTGGGAGCAGACATGCATTGACTGTGACTTGATGGCACCTGAGTTCCTCTCCTGCCCCCATTTTCCAGACAGACTGATAACTATCTATAGAACATTTGTTTGTTTGTTTTGGGGTAAAGCAACAGGAACCCAATGTTACCTTAAAGTGATGAAATAATTTGTGTATAAAGGTAGCAATACTAAGTTTAGTTTATCTTTTTGTTAATATTCAAATGAACTTGTTTAATTATTTATATGTAGTAATGCCTCGTTCATCCCAAGATAATCTGGCCCTCTCATCAAAACGAAACACAACTAAGAGAACTGAAATCATTAAAAAAATGCTTTGAAAACACCCCTAAGTCATGATTCTGTATGTAGAACATACATGTTTCTTTGAATGTGAGAGTTTAATAATTTGATGTACTGGCCCATAGCATATTTGTGTTGATGAAAAGAAGGGGTCCAAAGCAATGATGGAGAGCGTGCACTGCCAAAGTCTGTAGGGACAGCCATCGAGAGGACAGCGGTAATAGTACATCTGGTAATGACTGTGCATCCAAAAAGCTAAAATTGCATACACAGTATGGAATGCCTGTAGCATCAGTCTGCTCAGACATTTTATCAGATGCATTCACACTGGTGGCTGTCACTGTCGCGCCCGAGTCGGGGTTCACTGGGCCGCAGTCTGCCGCCCTTCTTACCATGTAGTAGACAAAGGACATGCCCGAGTCTCAGCCCCTGAGACTCCCGTTACCACTGCTCAGGCTCAGCTACACTTTGGGCATAGTCTTGAGTTCTTTGTACATTTTGGGGTCTTCATCTATTTTCATGGAAGGAGAATTTGAATGTCTTTAACTGTTTGAGATTGTATTAGATTCAAATCAGACTATATAATTGTAGGCCATTATCCAGACAGCCCATCAGGCTTCCCATCTATTAAGTAAATTAAACAGTTGTTATCAAAATAGTTTTTAAAGACTTATTTTTTTCTAGTAGATCTTGAGATTTGTAATTAAATGGGGAACCTGTACTACTGACTTTTAGTGAGTGCTCATAAACAAAATATAAAATCTTAGATTCAGAATAGCTCCAGTGTTAAAGATCTTTCTCTTAAAAATCTTTTAGATTTAAGTTTGTTTTGCTTCTAGTTTAGTTACTGTCTTGAGCATGTGAAGGACAGTGCTCATCCCTTCTGCTTGAAACACGTTTCCTGTTCTGTCTTTGATCAGAAATGAATTTGTCTTTTAGGGTGGCAAAAACTGTGTTTAAAAATGTTTTTATGACGCAGGAAATGTTTTATTTTAGATTCTTTTGAAAATAGAGGACAGGTTGTCATTTTCTTCCATAAAATAATTTGTTTTGTAAGTAAGACACCCCTTATCTGGGAGGTGCTTTGTTAGTAGTCGTTCTTGCCAGTTGCAAAGTTGGGAGCATTTCTGAAACATGTTTTATGTTTATAGTTTTTATAACTGTTAAGATCCCCCAAAGAGCTTTTGTTTATGAAACTTGAATTTTTCATGAGTTATATTGCAAGTCAGTACAGAGGAATTTCTAAAATGTAACTTTTAAATGTAGTTGTAATAGTCCTGTTACTTGTGAACCTAGATATTTGGTGTAAGATAACTTTTCCAGAATGAAGACAAACACTGTTGGTCTGCCACCTTTTCAGTGCCAGGCTAAGTAGACCTGAGATCCTCATGCCGTTTATATTCAGACTCTCCATCATCGGCAGGAAAGAACTGGAAGCTGCACTCTGCGTGTGGAATCCAGGTGGTGAGAAAGGCGCACACCATCTTAGAACTAGAGCAAGAGCAGTGAGACCTGGGGCAGCTCTTCTCAGGGCCCCGGATAACGTTTTGAGAACACGGCACTTTAATGTGATGAGACCTTGCCCCATCTGAACTTCAAGGGGTTGTTTGGGAAAAAGTGAAATTCCAGTTGAAATCTTAAACTTTTTAACACTATTAACTACTTTAACTAAATAGCGGTGATATTGTGGGTGTGGAGTTTTAACACCCTTTCATATATCAGGTGCTCACTGAGTAGTTTCCTTCTCAGCTCATGTAGTGGAATCTACAAGACAGAACAGGTAAGCTAGTTACAGCTCTTATTCTTGGGAGAAGGTACTGTTGGATTAAATTGTGCTTTCTTATTTAGATGTGGCTAGATTCTCTTTAATTTGAAATTTAAGTTACTTCCTGTATTTCTCAAAGTGTTTAAATCATTTAACATGAATTTTTTTATACTTTGCTAAACCAGTACCATTTGCTCTGTAGAGTCTGTTTTGTTTGTTTTTGTTCTTTTTTGACAGGGTCTCTGCATGGTCCTGACTGTCCTTGGAACTCACAGAGAGCTACCTCTGCCTCCCAAGTACTGGGATTAAAAGTGTGCTTCGCCACCCCCACCCCAGAGTCTTACTCACCCTTAGAGTGGTGGAGTAAGTGATGAGACAGCCTTATACCTCAAGTTAACAGTGACTCTTGGTGTGGGGAAGCTTTCCTTTATTTATGTAGTCTTTTCGCCTTACGGTTTTAAAATTACTTTTTAAAGGAAATTTTAAAATTGTATAAATTAGCTTATTGTATTGAATTTATCCCCAAGCCAGTTGAACTTTGTCTATTCTAAAGCAGTATCATTAATTTGCTTTTCATGTAGTTGTATTTGAACAAATGAAGGAATGACTGGGGTGTACCTCGGAGGTTACTGGTGTTTCCCAGCTATCTCTGAAGAACAGGAACCTACTTTGTAGCAACAGGCTTATTTGACTAGCAGTCTGATGTCATGAAAGGCAGTTTGAAAGATACGCGAGTAGATGTCTTTAGCCCCAGTTAGACCACTACAGCTCAGTTGTGATGTGTGATCCTACAGCTCATTCACTAGTTTTATCAGCCCTTTGATGATTGCATGCAAGCTTCAAAAACCTTTAGTTTGATATTACTAGTGATTTATTCTGTAAGAGTCTGGACACTAGTTTAACATTCTTGAAAGGACACTGCGCTGTGAAAGATTTGAAGAAGATGATGGTCTTTTCTGGTATAAGGCTATACAGGAGCTGTGATTTGTGATCGGGCACAGTGGTTCTCAAGACTTGACCTTGAATCCCATGGGTGGAGTGGACTTGAAGGAATCCTGAAGAACACCCGCACCCAAGTGTTATTGGTTACACATTCCAGTGCTCCACTAAGCCTTTAAAAAGGTATACCTCGAATAGGTCTCTGACACCTTTTCTTTTCACATAGGACTTGATGTTGCTTTTTTCCAATGAAGACTTCCGCCAACATGGTACACCTGGTATCCTATCCATATTTTCTGTCTCTAGTTTCATTGTCCAGCAATGAGAACAGAATGTTATGATTCAGAATTTTGTAAAAAGTAAGAAAGAATCCCAGACAGAACATTTTATTTGCTACTAAACATTGCCATTTGATCAAATTTTAAATTGGTATGTTCTCCAAAATCTTGATCACTTGTTATGTAAGTTACAGTCTAAACAAATACTCAAGGAGCCTTGTGACTATGACTATTGAGTCAGTGGCTTGAGGCAGCAAACGTTGTAAACTTAACAATAGTCAGTGTTCCTAGAATGTGGTGAGTAGAGCCAGGTTTTTAAAGGCTTAGACATTCTTATATGTTCTAAATGACATGCGTAGAATGTTTACAGTTGTGCAGTGTACACGGTATATGGTGAACACAGACTTACCCACTCTCACATACAGTTTTTATTGTCTTCATGGTCTTCAGCATGCTGTCTTTCATTATCTCCGTCTATGCATGCCTTTCATGGTTCTGCCTTTGTTTTAACTTGGACACCTTTCTGTTTACCACTCACAGCACTACCCCATCTTGTGCATGGCATCAGGATCCAGGAATGGATGGCCTTTTGGAGGAACACTTTTTAAGATACATATGCTTGGGCGAAAATTCTTGATTTTTGTCTGATAAGAAACTTTTCATAAAACAGATAATTTTATTTTGCAACTCACCAGATTTTTAAATTTGTTTTTGTATTTCCATCTGAGAAATTTTTCAGATCTCAATTCTTTCCTAAACTACGTGGAAAATCCCAGCTTTTAAATTAAGTCACAAGGCCATTCCGTGTGCTCTGACTGAGAGACTTGAGGAAGCTCTTGTCTGTTTTACACCTCACTCTTTCTGTCATCGCCCACCCCCACCTGTGACTCCTGCTGTTTCTGAAAGAATGGCCTGAAGTCTGTTTTATAGTTTGTCAGTATTCTGCGTCTCTGCCTCATTCACATCAGCTTGGAGAATGAATTTTGTGTTCGTAAAAAGAAAGTACAGTCTGCTTGTTCACAACTAGAATTCACTCCTTGTCTTCAAAACCAAGTTAGCTTTTGCTTTGGAAAGCATTGGGGAACAAGTCCAAAAGTTTGGATTCTGATTTCTTATAGAAATTAATATGCATTTAGTATAGTTATGCATAGGATTTGCTTCCTAGAAAAGTTTGTTTTTAATGAGGAACACTATGAAATAATGGATAAAATAGCAGTAACTGATTAAATAACTTACTCTATTTGAAGGGAAAAAGTATAGAATAGGGAAGGAGCTGTCTGGCTGTGGGCTATGTATGTTTGGAAAATGTTCATGGTAAGGTTTTTTTTTTTTTTTTTTTTTA